CGTGGTGCTGCACACGGCGCATGGCGCCACTGCCGCGCGGTGCGTGCGTGCGCGCGGTGCTGCGAGCGGCTCATGGTGCTGCTGCCATGCGGTGCCTGTCGTGTGCGCGCTGCTGCCTCAACTGCTGTCGTGTGGTGCGGGTGCTCATAACATTATCCATGTAATCGTGTCCATTTGATAAAATAAAAAAAAAAAAACTTCTTTGTGATAGTAAGGCTGCGTTTGTTTTTGGTGTAAGGTACATTCTTTTTTTCTTTGGCTTCATGGAAATACACAAATTAGGGTACCCCATCCCACATCCCTTAACTCCGAAACCCTGGTGGCAGTGGGAATTGATCCCATGTCTTTGCTACAATGAGTCAAAAATCCTACCAATTAAGCCACCATCAATTGGCCTAGGAGGACAATTTTGATATAACCACATGGTGAACATGAACCATGTAGTAGGAACTTGGTCAAAAGTTGAACCAAAAAGCTGCTATTAGGGGTGGCAATGGGACTAGGATCATATTTCCCATCCTCAACTTTGATTTTGAAATAAATTTCCATCCCTGACCCCAATCCCTATAAAAGTTACCCTCCATCCTTGATACCCAACGGAGATGAATTCCCTGTATTCCCGTAGGGAACTAAATCCCCAAAATTTTTATTTAAAGTATTTTTGAAAAATAGATTTACTAAAATAAGAGAATGTTTTAAGATATAAATCATATTCGCCCTGTCAAGGCAATTTTCATCCCTGTCGTCCTGGTGAGGGAGGCTTATTTGGCCCATAACCGGATCACCATTTCAATTGTGCAGGTCAACAAAATTGTTAACTAGCAGGGCCCCATATGATGCATAGGCTGTTTAAACAAAACCCAAACCCAAATTGAAGGACATTGTTTTTGGATAACCTACAAGAAATAGGCTGATCTGTTCCAGTTGATAATCCAAGCCAAGTTGATGGTGTGGAGAGGAGAAAATTAGGAAAAATGAAAAATAAAAAGTTTTTTTTTGTTTTCTTTTTTCGGTTTATAGTTGAAACTTGAAACGGACTGTTCAATTGTTTTCAATCAAGAGATTGCATTGATGGGGACCCTATTTTTCAAAATAAACTGTGGTGTAATTACAAATAATAACTAATTTAATCTCTTAAATCAAATAAAAATCTTAGCCTAACTAACTATTTTAATACTTAAGGTTACGTACTGTGGTTCTCTCTCCCCAAAACACGTGAATGGCTTTCAATTCAACAAACTTTTGCTCCCCTAATTCTATTTATAGAAAGTTTGCTCGTATCCTTTAATGAAAAATCATCGGTTATGCTTTAATTTCCTGAACCAAAATCCAAGACAAAGGACTAAGAGAGGTTCCATTACTAATATATTAGTATGGATTCCATAAAAGCGGATTGTTTAATTACAAATTAAACCTAATTTAGTGTCCTAAATCAAATAACATAAAAAAAGAAAGAAAGAAAGAAAAAAACTCAGCCTAACTGCTTTCAAGATTTAACGTTTGATAGTGGGTATCAAACAAAATACATAGTTATGGCTTCCCGTTGCTGAACACAGGGCCAGATATCTAGTAATCCATTAAAGATGATGAACAAGAGATCGATCTCACTAGACCATACTAGTGATAGCCAGACAATTGCTTGCTTGCTTAATCAGCTTATCATCAACCTCGGCCATGGGTGCTGTCACTTGAGGGATCTCCGCAAACGCATCGTCGCAAGTTCCAAAATCTGTCGACGCCGCGCTCAGCATGGAGTTTATTGTGCCTATGTCACGATCTGGGATTGCGTTCATTGCGGTTTGAAGGTTGTCTACTGCGTCGGCATAGCTTTCTCTACACACGTCCATGTAGGTAGAAAGCTGAGAGGAGGATTTGGGGTCGTGGATGATCTCTATGGACCGGTTCAGTGCAGCTTCTGCATCATGGTTGCAAGCTTTTATTAGCATTTCGAGGACTGAAACTGGATCCGTCTTCTCTGTTAAGTAGGGAGTGATGGAGGAGAGACAGAGCTCAGGGTAGTCAACGGCGTTGCACATCTTTATGATAGCTGGATCTATTGTCTTGGGTATAGTAGAGGCATCAAACGAGGCCGAAGAAGGTGAGCCAGAAGGAGTCAGTGCGATCGTCAGAGTAGTCTCTGAAGGTGAAGGCGTTGGGGCGGGCTGTTGAGCTGGAGGAGATGCTGTGGGCTGTGAAGGTGGAGATGGAGGTGATGGGGTTGAGTGTGAAGGCGAAGGAGATGTTGTGGGCTTTGAAGGAGGAGATGGAGGTGATGGGGTTGGTTGTGAACGTGAAGGTGAAGGAGATTTTGCAGGCTGTGAATGGGGGGGAGATGATGGGGTGGGTTGTGAAGGTGAAGGAGATGTTGCAGACTGTGAAGGTGGTGGAGGTGGAGGGGTTAAATTAGAATCATGACAGAAGTGCTCCAAATTATTGCGAGGCACACAGGCGGCCTCTGCAGAGTAGAAGAGTAGAAGAGAGGAAAGGAATATGGTGAGTACTAGATAGTTATGAGAGTACTCCATAATAAATTAAGAGAAGATCAGAGAGAAAGGCAGGGAGAAAGAGGAGAAAAAAGGAGAGGAAAGAACCAGAGAGATTAAAAGAAAATGAAAGGAGAAGGTATGGGTTTAATTTTAATTGCATTGGAAGGGTCTGGTTGGCTTTCCATGCAAATAGGATTTTCCGATTAAACCCAATCGATATCAGCCACTTGCTTTAATTTTCCCTTGTTGTAGGGAGTTCCGTTGTTAGTTATTGTCTTTTTTTTTTTTTACATACACTTCTACCTCTTCCAACCTTTTTCCTGAGATTTGAATCGAAAATCCACCATTAATGACTTGTATTTTATTAGTGTTTTAATTTGGACATTATGTTGGACCTGGTAAAACTACTATTTGGGATGATGGGATTCCAATCCAGTTATGGATGCAACTTGGGCTGGGTTAACCCGAATCATCCCGAAGGTTAGGGTTAGGGTTGAAATGTGTGAAACCGATTTAACTTTAGGTTGGGTTAGGGTTGAAATGTGTGTATTCATGAATGCATGTATATGTATTTTTTTCATTGCAAGTCTCTCTCTCTCTATATATGTGTATGTATTTATCTTTCTATATTATGTGTATGCATGTATATTAAATGTCAAAAATTTTAAATTTAAAGTGAATTTTTTCTAAAACATGATAATTATGTTTTAAACATAATAGTGTTAATATTAAATTACCATGATCCCTAAGTGTAGGAAACAAGTACATTTGGCGAAATAAGGAAATAGAGATGTTGGACCAATCCGATCCTATCCCAACTTTTGATTGATCTCAACCTGACCTAATCCGGCCCGATTTGCACCCCTAAATCCAGTCCTTTGCTTGTTCATACTTTGCGGGTTTCATTTAAAAAGGTTAGTTATGATGTAACAAATCCATCTTCACCCCTTCTTAGTCCCAAGCTTCCAAGGAGATGTGAGGGACCTTCCATGGGACAAATTTGATGGGTTTATGATCACACCACCACCTATCCATGCTGCAAATTATTCTTAATCAGATTAATTTAATCCGAGTTAAGTGTTATGAGGTATCAACTACTTGACTCGGCCTTTGACAACCCTGTTTGTCAATTTGGATTCAAATTGGATATGATCCGACTTATTTGCAGCTCTATAGCAACTGGCGGAAGATGTACCCTGAAATATTCATTGCTTAATTCATTTTAATCACCCCCTACCCGACTAAACTTTTATGGTTGAACTCGACTACAACATATACTTGATTGTTTGCTCTCCAATTAAGGCCATTGAACATAGTGTTTTTGAGTTGCAGTAGGATGATATCAAGGTTGTTTTACTACATAGTAACTGTTCAGGTGGTGCCTGAGCTAGCTGGAGTCACCACGTGTCAGGAACCGGGGCCGACTTCCTCGGACCACGTCAGAATGTGGCCATGTTGCAAGGAATACCAAGGAGATAAAGTTCTATGTAGACAAGGAAACATGTAAACCCTACTGAGGAAAGGGGAACCTCCTAAGTACTTCGATGGGTAACCTCATCTCGACAACCCCACAGACCTAATCTGACAACAACATGGATGTTTGACTATATAAAGGCATCTCCCCCTCAAGGTAAAAGACATTTGACTCCCAACTGACCTCAACACCCATTGCATTCAAGGTAAAGGCGTCTCCTTACTCGCCTTGACCAATCTCCCGTCTTTTACTAACTTGAGCGCAGAGTTCCTACACGAGAAATAACTCCTCGGGCCTTTGACTCTTCTTGTGCTTGCAGGTCACCTCAGTGCATGTCTTCATCCTTCCACCTCGGCCTCATCCAATTGGCAAGACTATCTGACTGTGTCCTCGATTTGGGCCACATCGGATCAAACAACATCATATTGGCACCATTTATGGGAAATGCACAAAAACTACCATGCCTAAGAACACTTTTGACCACTCTGGAGCTCGCTCCCCATTTCGAGGATCCTGCTCGTTACGTAGATCCCTGCTATGAGAGATCTAGCCACAGGCAAAGGTCGACCTTGCCCAATTCAACTCCCTATAGCAAAAGGTCGATTGTATAACCACGATAACGGAAGCGCTGGGACAACCGGGACAAGCCCATCCAGCCACTCTCCCCACTGTGTAGGTGCTCACGATGGTTGATCCTCAGATTAAGGACCCCAAAAGGCACCTTGTAGAGTCGCAAAAGACCAAACCAGAATGTGAGTGGTCCCAATCGTCTTGGAAGTCCAACTCTTAACCTCGGACCCGAGCCAACGACGCTCATAGTCGGTTCCATCACGTCATCATTCGACTCCCCACCAAAGAGCGGCTTGGCCAATGCTGACACCAGCAATCTTTGATCTCATTGACCGAGTCCAGCTTCCAAGCAGGAGCACAACCAGGCAAACCATAGCAAGGCCCCTCTGGCGAACCAACTAGCAAAAGTGTACCCATCCAAAGAGCTAGTGTTTGTGCAAGAGGTCGTGGACAAGCTCCCTCCTCCCGGGTGGTGACCCCCACTGTTTGAAAAGTACGGTAGAACCTCAAACCTGAGTGATCACCTTGAGGGGTTTAAAGCGATGATGATGCTCCAAGGTGTGAACACCTCGGAGGAACCTCAGACCCATGGGTTCAAAGCCTTTGTCGCAACCCTCCAGGGTGTGGCTTGGACCTGGTATGCCGCCCTACCACTACAGTCTATCGCCACCTAGGAACAACTCAAGACCTAGTTCTTGGCACAGTTCACCACCATCCGACGACATTGGAAGACCTTGACCAGCCTCATGCAAGTGTGGCAAAAGGAAGGGCAAAACTGAGGGAATACTTGACAAGGTTTAACACCAAGGCCCTCCAAGTCCAATACATGGACCAGTTAATTGTTGTAGTTGCCATCATGAATGGACTATGCTCGTCCAAGTTCAACGTCTCCTTAGAAAAGAACCCTCTAGAAACTCTGACCGCGTTCATAACACACACACAAAACTATATGAACGCCAAGGAAGGTCAAGCTCTGTGGAGGAGAGAAAAAGCTCAACATGATAAAAAATACCAAAACTGAAATGACAGAAAGAAAAACCGCAACAAGGGACCGAACTGCCGCAGAGATTGCAAACCAAGGACTCCACCACCGACATATTGCAACTTCACCCCACTCAACGCATCACGTATCGAGCTATTGATGCAAATCCGTGACCATAGCTTTATCAATAAGAGGAGAGTTGCTGAGACCTTTGTAACCACTTGGAAGACCTCGTCCAACACGGGTACCTTAGTGAATTTGTCGACATCAAGGAAAAGAAGCCTAGTGAAGCGCTCGTAGCCGCTTCGGCTGGAGTCATCGTTGTATGCACCGTGGCCAACCTGTGGAAGACCTTGAGGTACCCCTCTTCGACAATGACTCAAAAAAATCCGTCTTGATAGGGTCTCTCCTCGAGGGCGGTCTCCATGACAACATTGTCCAGTTTCTAAGGACTAACACCGATGTGTTTGCCTAGTTTGCAACTGACGTGCTGGGGACTGACCCCAAGGTCATAACCCATCAACTCAACACTGACCCGCGCTATCAATTCGTGAGGCAGAAGAAGAGGAGCTTCACCGCCGAATTGTGGTAGGTGATCAATGAAGAAGTACAAAAGCTGCTAGACATCGACTTCATCCGAGAAGTGACCTACTTAAAGTGGTTGGAAAATGTGGTGATGGTAAAAAAGGCCAATAGGAAGTAGAGGATCTGCATCGACTTCACCAACCTCAACCGAGCCTGCCCAAAGGACAACTTCTCCTTGTTGAGGATAGACCAGCTCATCAATGTGATGATAAGGCATGAGCTCTTAAGCTTCTTAGATGCCTTCTCTGGATACAACAAAATCCAGATGCATCTGGACAACTAGGTGATGCCCTTCAAGCATAAGAAAGTCGACACTACTTATCAAAGGTTGGTGAACCACATCTTTAGAGAACAACTCGGCTAGAACATGGAGGTATTTGTCAATGGCATGCTACTAATGAGCAAAAAGGTAGAGTAGCACTTGGTCGATCTAGAAGAAGTCTTCAACCTCCTTCAATAGTACCTCATGAAGCTGAACCCAACAATGTGCGCTTTTGGGGTTGGCTCCAACAAGTTTTTATGTTTCATGGTCACAAGGAGAGGAATTGAAGTGAATCCGGAGAAAATCTAGGCCATCTTGAACATGTAGTCGCAACAAACACACAAAGAAGTGCAACGTCTCATAGGACGAATAGCTGCACTGAGTAGATTCATGTCAAAGTCCATGGACCACTATCTATCCTTCTTCAAAGCCCACAAAAGGTGAAAGTTTTCCAATGGATCGAGGAGTGTGAGTGGTCTTTTTAGGAGCTAAAACAATACCTAAGCTCACCTCCCTTGCTCACAAAGTCGAACCCCGGTGACCAACTCCTACTCTACCTCTCTGCCGGGGACGAGGTGGTTAGCTCGGCCCTGGTGAAAGAAGAAGATCAGACCTAGAAGTTGATCTACTACGCCAACAAGGTCCTCAGACCCTACTTTTAAGCATACAACATCTGGGTTCTGACCAACCAACCGTTGAAACAAATATTGCAGAGGCCGGAAATGTTTGGTTGGACAATCAAATGGAGCATGGAGCTAAGTGAGTTCGACATCAATTATCCTCCTTGGCCTACTATCAAAGCCCAAGCCCTGGCCGAATGCACTTTCTTAGTCCAGGACCTAGCCAAAGGCTCCCTAGTTTGGACACTACATCAACGGAGTGTCCAACTGACAAGGGAGTGGTGTCGGTTTTATACTCCTTGTACCGGATGACATCATTCATGAGCATGCACTACGGTTCAAGTTCAAAGCATCAAATAACAAAGTGGAATACAATGCTCTAATAGCCAAACTCCAACTTACACGAGATGTTGGTGTGAAGCAAATTGAAGTCTTCAACGACTCCTAGCTAGTAATAGACCAAGTCAATGGGTAGTTTGAGGCATGGGAGCCCACCATGGCAAGATAACAGTACCTACAGGACAACACCTTGCTTGAGGACTGGAT